AGCTGCAGCTCGGAGCCCCATGGTGCGCGGCGGCGGCCAGGCCGCAGGAGGAACCCGAGGCCCCGGTCGCCCCGGCTGACCGCACGGACCCGAGCGGCCCGGAGCCGTCGCCGCCCGTCGGGCCCCGCCGGGGCGCGGGCTGGCCAGCCATGGGGTCCCTGTTCCGGAGCGAGACCATGTGCCTGGCGCAGCTCTTCCTGCAGTCCGGCACGGCCTACGAGTGCCTCAGCGCCCTGGGCGAGAAGGGCCTGGTCCAATTCCGAGACGTGAGTGTCGCCCGGGAGACGCGGGCCGCACCTGCCCGCCCGGCTCCGCATCCCGCCTTTCTTTCGCTCAGGCCTCCCTTCCGCGGGCTCCTGGGCAGGGGCGCGTCGCTATCTCCGTTTCGCGGGCGGGGAAGCTGGGGCCCGGCTGACCGGCCCGAGCTTCCGCAGAGCGGAGCCCGATCCCAGGGTCCGGGCGTCTGGTCCGCGGCGGCTTTGGCCGGGTTGGTTAGGAACGCTCTGTGTAGGCTTCATCCACTTCGGGTAGTGCCATCAGATGCTCCGGAGCGCCGACTCCGTGCCAGGCACAGCGCTAGACGGGAGGGCAAAATCTGTGAGGCCTTTTGGAGTCCTTCTGGAACTTACGGGGGTGGCGGGGACAAATATTAAGCAAATACGTGAACAAAATGTTTGCTGTGAAGGTAACTACAGTCGGGTGGTCAAGGAAGGCCTCTTTGAGGAGGTGACGTTTAAGCCAGGATGAAGTCTGAATGGGAAAGAGCTGGTCCTGGAAGATCTGGGGGAACAGGGTCCCAGACGGAGGGAACCGAAGGAGCCCAGACCCCGGATTGGGAATGAGCTTGGTGTGAGCACGTGGAGGGGAGGGGGTTTCTGTCGGTTTTGTTCACTGGTGTATGATGTGCATACGGCTGCCTGATAAGGAGTGGGAGTTGTCTTCCCAGCAGGTAGGGATAGACACTTGTTTATGTACGTTTACTTGTTTATTATTTGTTTACACCATGAATTGTCAACCCCCAGGGCCAGGGGCCTCTTCTGACTTGTTCACTCCTGATTCCCCAAGACTTAGCACAGCCCCTGTCATTTGTGGGCATTAATAGGCATTTGTTGAATGAAGGAACAAGCCTTTATTGAGCGTTTGCTCTGTTCCAGATAGTGTTTTTCGTGCTAGCAACTCAGTGGTGAGCAAGGTGGACAAGGTCCTTGTGTTCTTGTTGCGCATAGCCTCGGAGGAGACAGATAAACACACTCCATGGACAGGGATTGTGAAAAGAACAAGGCGTGGAAGGGGAGTATTAAGCAGGATCTAATACTTAGCGATTGAACTGGAAGTCCTTTCAGGGGAGCATTTTATTTCCTGGGCCACAACTTTCGTCTTCTGGTTGTTTCCCTTCATCTCTCTGAGGAGCCCTTCATTTCAAAAGGGAACACCCCTACCCGAGATCTGATATCAGTGACCCTTGGGTCGGCTCCAGAGGAATTACAAGGTCAGGAAGAAAGTCTTGAATGACAGCCGAGGCTGCAGGGAAGGCCCAGATCTCTTCCTGTTTCCTGGAGCCACTTGGGCTTCAGTTCATGGTACCCACTTACCTGGTAGGGGCGGTGATCAGCTGTGAGTAGCACCGGAAGGATTCAGGAAACAGGAGCAAAACTGGCTCCCTTCTGTATAACTGGTAGATTTGTTCCTTCCTGTTAGTGCTCAAGTTGAGAGAGACTGATATTATCAAGCTTAAATCTTAGAGGTTTGAACAAAGGCCCTAATTACAAAGATTCAAGTTTCACTGAGCGCCATTACATTAGGTAGTAGGGTATATTGGGATCCTTATCTGTAAATCAGAGAAAAAAAACGTGCATATGAAGAGCTCAGCTGTGTGTGTTTGGGTTGACTGTCAAACAGCATGGGTGCCTAGAGTAAAAGCTCCGTAACATCTGACACATTTCTTGCCCCTTTCTGGAATTCCTCACTGACTTTGCCTTCACTCGCTGGGATAACTAACATCAGTCTTTTCTGGCTTGCATAGGCTCTATGATTTTCCCCTTTCAGTACTCCTGAGGGCAAGGAGGCAGGCGCAGAGTTGCTGTAGTGACAGCCCATGAGAAGACTTGGAAAAGAAGGTTATTCCCCTAGCCCAGGGGCCTCAGTGAAGGGCAAGTTCATCTCCCTCTTCTGACAGTCTGCAGTCTAAGAACAATTTTCCCCAGTAGTCCTTGAGCTGCTGGAGTAGGAAGATGACTAGTGTGCGTATCAGGGAAACCTGCACCGGGTAGCCTCTGCTGGTTTTTCTGGGTTGAAGGTTGTTAGCCTCAGGGAGCCTGGGTGGCTCAGTCCGTTGGGCTTCTGACTTCGGCTCGGGTCACGATCTCACGGTTAATGAGTTCGAGCCCCACATCGGGCTCTGCGCCATCAGCGCGGAGCCTGCTTTGGATCCTCTGTCCCCTCTCTCTGCCCCCTACCCTGCTTGCTCTCTCTCAAAAATAAACATTTAAAATAAATAAGTAAATAATTAAAAAAAAATTATAGGTTGAAGGTTAGTCTTGAAATGAGTCTACATTAAAATACACTATAGTTCCCCCCATCTGTGGAGATGCGTTCCAAGACCCCCAGTAGGTGGGTTGCTATCCGAAACCGCGGAACCGCGGATCGTACTGAATGTTGTCCATATTGTATCTCTTCCTGTGCATACGTACTGTGGCCCACTGTAATTCATAGCTCAGGCACTGTCAGAGATTGACAGCAATAGAACGATTATAAAATGTACCGTAGGAACAATTATGTGAATGTGTTTGCGAGGATATATGTGAGTTACATCTCTTGTCAGTTTATCTTCTTGTCCTGTACTCACCCCTCTTCTTTCGATGATGTGAGACAATAAAACGTCCACGTGACAAGAGGAAGCGAGGCGAATGATGTAGGCACTGGGCCGTGATGTGGCACTGCTATTGACCTGGGGAAGTGCCAGAAGGGGGATTGTCTGCTTCGCCACCAGGGTTGACCGCGGGCGTCTGAGACCCTGGAAAGGCTAAACTGTGGACAAGGGGCACTACTGTGCTTCCTGTCATTGGCCTAGACGTAGGGTGACATTGCCTCCCTAAAAAGAAAACAGAAACGAAATTCTGTAAAAGAAACCGCGCGGCAGAAAAAGCCAGGTGACATCTGTGAGATGGTGGGGGTGGTGTGTGTCACACCCAAATACGTTTGTATTGTTGCCGCAGAAATTGGCCTCCTCATAAAGAGTCTACTGTTTGTGGAACCACCATGTCCACGTGGAGTTCGCCAGTGTTTGATGTTGAAGAAAAAAAGCCCTGAAATGGGACAGTGCCGTCGTCTGTAGACCGCTTGGGATGCATCGCTTCCTTTTCATTCTGGGCTCTGCGGATTGTGCCTGAGTCATGATGAACTTGAAAGCGGTTACTTGAGATTAGTGTGATCCCAGAAATGAATGTGAATGTGACAAGCAGAAGTGAAATGGGAATTTTTATCTTACTTCTGGTTAATCCTTTTAAAAAAATTAGAAAAACTGAACGAGAACTGAGCCTTTGGGGTCCACTCTTCCCGGTTTGGGCAGTTTCATGGCAAGCTCTTGTCTAATTGTGGTTTTTGAGAGTGCCCAACATAAGTGATGGGGTGCAGGAAAGATAAAATTCTTGCCTTCAATGCCTTCCAACACGAGTGATCACTGTAACCTTTTTTTGTTATAAAATAATAAATGTCCATTGTGGGAAATTTAGAAAACCTAAGAATAAGATGCTAACCTCTATGATCCTATTATCTAGAAATAAACACTCTAACTTTTTCGTTAATATTGGTTTAACGTTATTTTTCTAATAATGTTTTAAAGTGTACGTATATACGTATTTTCATATAATTGGAACCACACTGAACATATCTTTAATTTTTTCCAGACACAAATCAGAACTGATTTCCTCATTACATTTTCTTTCACTATATATATATATATATGTATATATATATGTGTATGTATATATACATGTGTGTGTATTTTATTGTTTTAAGCTTTGTATTAGAAGTTAAGTAGAGGGAAGAGTGGGAACAGTGAGTTCCTGTGGACCTGTAACATAAATTCATGGCCCCTCATTGCAGCCTTCCACCTCCAGACAAAATCTGTCCCTCCCCTCTCAGACCACATTATTCTGAAGCAAATCTCATGTGTATAATTTCTTTCATAAATATCTCCATAATTATCTCTAAAAAGTAAGGACAGTTAAAAATCATAACTACAGGGACTCCTGGGTGGCTCATTTGGTTAGGCGTCTGACTTTGGCTTAGGTCATGCTCTCACAGATTGTGAGTTCGAGCCCCATATTGGGCTCAGTGCTGACAGATCTGAGCTTGGAACCTGCTTCGGATTCTGTGTCTCCCTCTCTCTCTGCCCCTCCCCCACTTACAGTCTGTCTCTTTCTGTCTCAAAAATAAACGGTAAAAAGAATAAAATCATAACCACAATATCATTATTATACTTAAATTTTTATGTAATAATTTCTATTTTTTAAATGTTTATTTTTGAGAGAAAGAGACAGAGTGTAAGTGGGGGAGGAGCAGAGAGAGAGGGAGACACAGAATCTGAAGCAGGCTCTAGGCTCTGAGCTGTCAGCACAGAGGCCAGTGCAGCATTCGAACATGGGACCAGTGAGATCATGACCTAGGCCAAAGTCGGATGCTCACTGACTGAGCCACCCAGGTGCCCCTATAGTTTCTATTTTTTTTTAAGTTTTAAGTAACCGCTGCACCCAACATGGGGCTCGAACTCACGACCCCGAGGTTGAGTCATACACTCTTCCGACTGAGCCAGCCAGGTGTCCCAATAATGATTTCTTAATAGAATCCAATACCTCAGTCATTTAAGACATAATTAAGAAAAACTTTTTTTAACGTTTATTTAACATTTATTAATGTTGAGAGATACAGAGTGCGAGTGGGGAAGGGGCAGAGAGAGAGGGAGACACAGAATCCGAAGCAGGCTCAGGGCTCTGAGCTGTCAGCACACAGCCCGACGTGGGGCTCAAACTCACGAACTGTGAGATCTCGACCTGAGCCGACGTCGGACGCTTAACCGACTGAGCCACCCGGGCGCCCCTAAAACGTAAGTTTTAATAAGGGCATAATAATCAGTTATACGAACCATAATTTTTATAGCCCTTTATTGATCTGTATCATAGAATTCACCCATTTCAAGTGTACATTTCATTGTTTTTTTAGGAAATTGACTTAGGTGTCCATCACCACGATCCAGCGTTAGTAGAACATTATATCCCCCAGTAAGGTCGCTTGTGCTTACATACAGTTAATCCCCAGACCTGCCTCCAGCCCCAGGCAGTCACTGGTCTACTTTCCGCCTCTAGATTTGCCTTTTCGGGACATTTCATGGAAAGGGAATTGCGCCGTATGTGGCCTTTAGCGTCTTCTTGAAAGACACACTTGCATTGTTTCTGAGAGTCATCGCGGTGTTTGGTGCGTCAGTGGGGTGTTCCTCTTGATCGCCGAGCAGTGTGCTAAGGTTTGCGTGTGGACCATAAGCTCTTTGACCAATTTTGTATTGTTAATAATTTTTTCTTCTATCCCTGAGGTTGACGTTCTTCTTGGTAAGTTTTTGTAGGTATCCATAGGTTTTTGCTTAGGTTAATTTTCTTCATGGGATGTTTCTGGGCCAAAGGGTATTTTTCAGGCTTTTTTTGGTAACAGTTGCCAAGCCGCTTTCCAGAAAAGCTGTGTTGGTTCCCACTCCCATCCAGTTAGTGTGTGAGGATGTACTTTTCCCTAAAGACTTGCCCATCATATTTTATTCTTAAAATCACATTTACCTGTACATTTTAGAAATTTCAGAGCAAATTTTTCATCCTTTTCTCAGCTCAACCAGAATGTAAGTTCCTTCCAAAGAAAATTTGTTGGTGAGGTGAAGAGGTGTGAAGAACTAGAACGAATATTAGGTAAGTTTTATTTTATTTTATTTTGTTATTTTGGGGGGTTAAGTTTATTTTACTAACTTAATTATTTGTATATAAGCAAGCCTTGTTCACTTTAGAAAAATTAGAAAATATAGGCCAGCAAAAAGGAAAAAAGAATTCACCATCCTGTACTTTTTACTCTTTACCTATAAAAGTAAGGATTCACATATATAACTATCAGGCTGTTTTGTTGTCAGCTGTTTCTCAGGAAGTCCTGTAACATCTTTTCGTATCAATAAACAGATGGACCCCTCATCATCTTTTTTTTTTTTTTTAAGTTTATTTATTTTGAGAGAGAGAGAGAGAGAGACGTGGGAGGGGCAGAGAGAGAGGAAGAGAGAGAATCCCAAGCAGGCTCTGTATCAGCAGTGGAGAGGGACCGTGACCTGAGCTGAAACCAACAGTAGGTCGCTTAACTGAGCCACCCAGGCACCCTAGACGCAGCATCATTTTTAATGGCTGCCTAGTATTTCATGAGATTAATGTGTTATAATTTATAATGTGTAGCCAATCCCTTGTAGTTTATCATAATTGAAGACATTGTATACATGTTACTTAAAATTATACCAAAGATCAAGGGAGGCATGAAATGACAGATTGGCTTTGTTTGCAAAGGTGTTAGATCAGTGTTCCCTTGATGGTTAAGCTTCACAGCTCAGTAGCTCAAGGCTACTTACTTTATCTGTAAAATCTTTACCATCTTAGCCTAAGATAGTCATCACTATCAATTCCAGTGTGAAGTTCTGACCGAAATGGGGGGAGGGAGAGGATGATTGCATACCACCTACTGAAGTACAAAACTTTTTTTTTTTTAGGAGGATGAAAGAGGGGTGCCTGGGTGGCTGAGTCAGTTAAGCGTCTGACGTGGGCTCAGTTCATGATCTAAGAGTTAGTGAGTTCGAGTCCTGCTGCGCTGACAGCTGAGAGCCTGCAGCCTGCTTCGGATTCTGTATCTCCCTCTCTCTGCCCCTCCCCTGCTTGCATTCTTTCTCTCTCTCAAAAATAAATAAACATTAAGAAAAAAAAAAAGAAGGATGAACAGAAAAACATGGGGATGAGTGAGCCAAGGAAGGGACAGAATATGACTTTCGAAGTAACTTTTTAAAAAAATTTTATTTACATACATATATATGTGTGTATATATACAAATATATATATACATACATATATATGTATGTGTATATATATATATATACACATACATATATATATGTATTTATTTATTTAGAGAGGGAGAGAGAATCCCAAACAGGCTCCCTGCTGTTATCACAGAGCTGAACACAGGGCTCAGTCTCACAAACTGTGAGATCATGATCTGAGCTGAAGTTGGATGCTTAACCAGCTGAGCCACCCAGGTGCCCCTGGAATGATTCCTAATAGCTAATATTTATTGTGGATCTTTATCTTTTTGAAATTTATTTTATTTTTTTTTATTTGAGAGAGAGGGAGGGGGAGGAGCAGAGTGAGAATGAGAGACAGAGAGAGAGACAGAGAGAGAGACAGAGAGAGAGAGAGAGAGAGAGATTGAATCCCAAGCAGGCTCCATGCCCAGTGCAGAGCCCAATACGGGGCTTAATCCCACAACCCTCAGATCATGACCTGAGCCGAAATCAAGAGTCAGATACTCAACCAAGTGAGCCATGCAGGCACCCTGGATTTTATGGTTTAATTGGAGATTTTTAAGGCCAAAACACTTTTAATGATCTGAAATCTATTCCTTGCATATTGTTTGAAGTCCTAGTTCCTTGTGTGGATCGTGTACGATAGAGTGACATCATATTCCTTTCTTTGCAATATAGTGAGTCCTTGGGCAGGTCGTGGATTAGGAATGAGGTTTTTAAAGGCAGTGACAGCACATTTGGCACGTATAGGGCTTTTTATAGCTTAAACTGTTTCAAAAAGCATATAGACTTCAAAAAGGAAAACAGATTTCCCAAGTAAATTAGGTTTAATTGGTGAAACGATTTGTATCCCATTTCCGGAAACCTCTTAAGCCCTGTGCTTCCTTTGCTATCCTGTTAGGGAGACATCCTCACCTTTCTGTTTCTTTCTCTCTCAATAAAATAACTAGTAACCCTTCTCCAAGATATTCTGTCCGGTTATGAGTTTACCAGGCGTTGTGACTTGCATCCTAAGGACAAGGATGCTTCATGGCATTGAAAATGTAAACTGAAGAAATTCAGTTAATTTTGCCTGGATCACTGTGAGTTTTATGAATCTGGCTGTTGACATAAGTAGGGAAGCAGCATGGATTGTTGTGAGTCCGAACAGCCTGGCCAGCGCGGAGCTCTCCGGAGAGCCTGGCTCTCTGCCCTGTGCCCTCAGGGCTCTGTGCGCTGCTAGAGGCTGTGCTTCTCCTGGGGGATACTTACTTCCTCCTGACGGCACCTGCCAGGGAGTCCCGCTGCTGTCTCCGGTGGGGACGATTCTAGGTCTATCCCTGTCTTATCCTGCACTTCCGAGTGTGTCTCATCTGCAGGTACAGAAACAGCTGCGACTCCAGAGTTCTTTAACTAGGGTCTCAGACATAAAGGAGACTTGGGGGATTTCAGGGAATGTTTGTCAGGTTATTGTCGATCTTGTCACTGCGTGCTCACCTCTGTAGGTGGTATTATTTTGTAGATCTTTGGAAGCGAGGTTGTAAAAGGCTTTTTATAAGTCAGTTGGAGTAAGCAAGACTTCTGTGCATTCAGACATTAATTTTGAGGCGACCCAGGAATGGTTGGGATGGAAAATGTTCTGACTGAAATGTCTTAGAGTGGGTTTTTGAGTCTAATTTGTTTACCTTTTATTCCCACAGCATATTTGGTACAGGAAATTAATAGAGCTGATATTCCCCTGCCTGAGGGAGAGACCAGTCCTCCAGCACCCCCTCTGAAACAAGTCCTAGAAATGCAGGTAATGTGTTTCTGAATAAGCTGTTTTAGGTCGCTGATCGCAGACACTGCTCGTCTACTGAGTTTATATCGTCCAGGGCTTGTCGGGTTTTCTTCTCAAAACCGTGGAATGAAAACTAAAGAACAATGCTATGGTTAGCCCTCCAAGTTTTGTTTTTTCTGTGTTTTTTGTTTTGAGAGAGAGGAGGGGCACAAGTGAACGAGGGGCAGAGAAAGAATTCCAGGAGGGGTAGAAGGAGAGAGAGAAAGAGAGACAGAGATAGAGAGAGAGAGAGAGAGAGAGAGAGAGAGAGAGAGAAGTGGGGCTTGAACTCAACTGAAGCGGGATTCGAGCTCACCTGATGTAGGACTCGATCATGAGATCATGACCTACCGAAGTTAGATGCTTAGCAACTGAGCCACCCAAGTGCCCGGCCCTCCAAATTTTAAGTGTAATTTAGTTTTCTTGTAAAATGTAAGATGCACGCTCCCTTTCCAGCTGGTGTTGAGCTGAAGCTAATGAAAATTGAGTTGTGAAATGGGGTGCTTAGTCAGGTAATGTTTCTGAAAGTACGTTCCGGGCTTATCCGGGCTTTAGCATGCCTCTCCTGGCGTGAGTAGGGGAATCTTCAGTCCTGGACCCTTTGCCTTCTGCCAGACTCACGGACCTCCCCTCTGATGCTCAGAAGCTAGTATGAAGGTGATAGGTTATTCCAGGTCAGCAGCAAACAATTCCTTGTCCCTGAGTTCAGTGTCTCAGGGATACAGTGTTCCCCCCAAGAACCCTGGCTTGTCTTGTTAGCGCCCCTGTGACTTATCCCCCGAGGTTTGTGTTGATCATCTGATAGTTCGTCGCACTGGGAACTAGACTAGAGCCCCTTAGAGCTCTTCTGAAACAATCAGTATTGTGTAGCCAGGACCATTCCATGGCTGGCCGCTCTGTTTATCTGGGAGGAAGTCATTTAACATTTGTTATATGAGTGGACTTGAGAGAGAATTGTACAATCAGATGAGTTGAAAGCGGTCATCTGGTTTGGCCTGTTTGATGGGTTGTTTGTGATATAATGACAATTTCGGTGATTGCTGAGTATTTATAGTTTTCGTAAAAGGCAGAGCACAAGTAATGGAGGTAGTATGTCAAGGGATTTGTTTGCATACAAGTTTTCAGTGAGTCAGGGATTTGGTCTACAGATCTCTGCCTCTGTTGTTCAAATGCTTAAGTATTGTTAAAGAATGATGCCTGCGGTGTAATTGATTATGAAAGAAGATTCGATCTCAGGGCATCCTTCAGCCCAATTAATCGTATAAGCGCAACTTAAACATGTAGACTCTTTTTTTTTTTTAACTTTTAATTTTTTTTTTTTTTACTGTTTATTTTTGAGAGAAAGAGAGAAGGAGCGTATGAGCGGGGGAGGGGCAGAGAGAGAGGGAGACACAGAATCCGAAGCAGGCTCCAGGCTCTGAGCTGTCAGCACAGAGCCCGACACGGGGCTCGAACTCATGAACTGCAAGATCATGACCCGAGCCGAAGTCGGATGCTTAGCCGACTCAGCCACCCAGGCGCCCCTATACATGCAGCCTCGTAACTAGAGGCTGGGAATATTTATGCTCCGAAAAGGTGACCTCAGTTTTTTTCTGTGTTGCAAATAAACGGAAATGTAGACTTGAAAGAAGGAGACTGTTTGATGTGTGACAGTGGGTAAGCAGATGAAGGAAAATCCACACAAGTGGTGGGGGCTGAGATCAGGCCAGACCAGCCCAGGGTACCGTGAGTCATCACCTGCGACACCTCCATCGTGCGTGGTGTCAGCTTCTTAGGAGTTCCCTGAATCGGTACGAAACCATAAATGATGGACCTTTAAAATCTCTGCATGCTCCCGTATCCCTGCCCGACTATCGGATTCTGGCTTGTTAAGCCCTGTCCTGGCTCTAGTGAGTGTGTGAAAAAATGACGAAACTACACTTGGAACGGACCTGTCCTCTTAAGTAACTGCCCTTTTGTTTTAGGAGCAGCTGCAGAAGCTCGAGGTTGAGCTGAGAGAAGTCACCAAGAACAAGGAGAAACTGAGGAAGAACCTGCTTGAACTGATTGAGTACACTCACATGCTCAGAGTGACAAAAACCTTCGTTAAACGAAACGTGGAGGTACTGACCACACACGTGAGGAAGTGCATTTCTTTTGTAAAACTCTCGTTCCCGTAAGGTTTCTCTTTCAGCTATTAGTTATTAAACAGGTTCATTTTGATCTTAGCTTTATTTTTCAGTCGGATTATACGACATGAAAAAAAAAAGTGTTTCCCCGTGTTGGTTGATTTAGCGATAACGATACTTCCTATTTGTAAAATCTTTAATTTTGAGTTGAAAAAAATCTTTTTATGTTCATGAGGGGAAAAAAATGGGAAAGTAGAGTTTGAGCTCTAAAATTTAGGTATTTTTTTTTCTTTTTCTTCACCAAATTACTAAGAGTAAAAGAATTAACAAAAAAGTCTTTGTAAGAGTAGAAACAGTCTACATAATAGTCTGTCCTCAGCTGAGTAGGGAGGTGAGTCTGTTCTGTCAGGGCCGTTTCGTTTGGTGTGGTGACATCTGACTGAGCACTCTGTCTCCAAGCGAGGCGGCGACATAAATTGTAACTATATCTCGAGTGAACGACTTCAAGTAGCTGATAAAAAAAGGGACGGGGCGATGATCGTTTTTATTTACCAGAGCTGTGTTCCACGTCTAAGTCTAAGTTGTTTTGGGGTGTCGGCGTCCAGATCTGGCACCCAGTTAGGATGCCCTATAAACTTGTTTGGAAACATGACTTGGGAAATAAAGTGTCACTTTTAATAAGGCACACTTGGTTTCATATTTCTTTGTAGTTTGAACCTACTTATGAAGAATTCCCTCCCTTAGAGAATGATTCCTTGTTGGACTACAGCTGTATGCAGAGGCTGGGAGCAAAACTGGGGTAGGTGACAACCACTGGGGCGGGGGGGGGGCGGCGAGCATCGCTGTCCTTGTCAGTGGAGGGATGAGAGCTACCATTTGAAGGCCTGTGATGGAGTGAAAGAAAGTGCATGTCTGTTTAAGAAAACACTGTACTCCTGTATTTGCTGAGTTGGATTATTCAGCTGTATTGACTTTTTAGCTAAATACCATGGGGATTTCTTCTTTCAGTATAATGAGCTGGAAAGAAGGAACGTTTATGCCATTCAGTGTTCTATCAATAAGCCTACAATAATAGGTCAGTGACGCATCAAGTCCTGTTTTGTTTGTTGGAAACATAGGGGCTAAACTGAGTTGGTTAATTAATTGATTTTTTAATTTTTTTAAAACGTTTATTTATTTTTGAGAGAAAGAGAGAGAGAGACACACACACACAGAGCGTGAGTCGGAGGGGGAGGGCAGAGAGAGATGGAACACAGAATCCGAAGCAGGCTCCAGGGTCTGAGCTGTCAGCACAGAGCCCGGCGAGAGGCTCGAACTCCAGAACCGTGAGATATGACCCGAGCCAAAATCAAGAGTTGGACACTTAACCAACTGAGCCACCCAGGCGCCCCAGCTATACATTTTAAAGGATGTTTCAAAAATTTTTGACCCAGCATTTTAGATATTTTGCATTTGGAGGGCTTTCCAGATACCCTTTTCACCATTTTTCCAGAAATGAAAGTCTTCATTTCTCCTTTTAATGCAATTTGAGGATTCAATTGCTTTTCAATTGACTACCGGTTGCTTTTATTGTCTCATAGGTTTGTATCTGGCCTAATTAACCAAGGGAAAGTTGAAGCATTTGAGAAAATGCTGTGGAGGGTCTGCAAAGGGTATACCATCGTGACCTATGCAGAACTGGATGAGCCCCTCGAGGACCCTGAAACTGTGAGTCGATATCCCGATCACCTTTTAACCATGACAGACTGGCAGCAGAGTTGGGGGCGCAGTGCACAGGGAGCCGCTTGAGAGTGGGGTGTTCACCTGATGGCTTATCATCCTCGAGTACCTTCAGGTGTAGCTCTAAAGTCTAGGACTTTCTCCTCGATGGCAGCTGGGAAATTACCGCAGACACGTTGCTACTGTCCGAGCCTCAGACCCCATTGAGGTTTCCCCCGTCGTACCACAGTCCCTGTTATAGCAGACAGTCTAGTTTTGGATCACAGTTTGGATCTAATTGTCACGTCTCTTTGGTCTCCTTCATTCTGGGACAATTTCTCAGTCTTTTCTTGACTTCCACGACCTTGACATTTGAAAATGATTATAGATCAGTTGTTGTTGTTTTGTAGAATGTCTCTGCATTTGGGTTTGTCTGCTGTTTTCCCAGGATTAGATTCAGGTCGTGCGTCTTTTTTTTTTTTTTTTTTTTTTTTTTTTTTTTTTTAAATTTTTT